TTTGATCGGAGCGGTTGACTTTAATGCGAGTTAATTAACTCTTCAATTATCGCTGCCGCGCCGACGGAACGGTAAATCGTCCGTGAATGAAGCGTTTACAGTCCGATGCTAATTTGCGGTACACCTGCTTTTTGGCGGAGCGGCCGAGGGCGCGAATGTTACCGCGCGCGCGATTTTTGCCGCAATTACTGCTCGCCGGTGATGTTTCAGCTCGTTCGTTGTCAATTATGGCTAAACGCACGCGCTCCTCCGTTGCGAACGAGTGACCGTCGGCGAACTGATCGTTACGCCGACGGTCGCTACCGGAAGAAATTTTATCGCAATTGACGTAACTCGCGCAGATAAATCGGCAAGAGGACAAAAATTTTTAAATACGCTTCACAATAAGACGTGTAAACAGAGACACTTGCATACAATATCGAGACTGAAGTCTCCCGAAAGCAGGCATCCTACGGGAGATTAAGCGAACACGTGGAACGTAACACTATCGCAAATGCTACGTTTCTGAGAGAAATTTTGCAAAACTTGGGGACAAGTGCGCAAATGCAAACATATCGATTGTTCGCGATAAAACGATGCACGCGGGTGGTCGTCTCGTTATACGAGTTTGCAGCGTTTATGTTGCATTTTACAATCGACCGGTGTATTTATTCGTCGGCCGGTGAGGAACGACGCTTGCGCTACACGATGGCGCGCCCTGATCGATTTAACGCCAAATGTCGCCGTGTTTTACACGCGGCAATAATGGTCGAAATCTATGTAGCCAATATTTCAAGCCACCCTTTCTCGCCTGCGCCCGTCCCCGAGCCCCACACGCGGAGAGCTCTCGTATACCGACGACACGTAGCCCTGGTTATTGGTCCGCATATGGACACCGCTCGATATTTCATATTCTACGGCGAAATGAAAGTATAAGCGCAATCACAACCGGCGTGTCCCGAAAAATGCGATTAATTGCTCATACGCGCGACGCGCGAGAATCATTCAACGAGGAGAATCGCGAGGACGAAGTACGGGTTTTCCGTTCTCTCTCCAGCGCGCTAAGTATCTTCTCTTTTTTAAGATATACAGTCCGCAGAATCGTCCAAGCGGAAGAAATAACAAAACGTACCAGAACAGAAAATGTCTGGGACGCACATTTTGGGCTGTATGCGGCAGAACGGGAAGTAAACCTGTAGGGACGATCGAATAAACGGAATTTAAATACTTCGGAGGCAAGAGGGCGCGCGATCCGAAGCGGAAGAATGATAGTCCCGAGGGAGGGATACGTACGATTCCTACCGCCCGAGGAATTCTTCCGTGACCGACGAGCGTAATTTACACGAAAACAAAGTACGTCGCACGCAGACTACGACGATTTCGAGGATTATTTTCTAGCCTATACCTTTTCTAACCTATACCTTAGTTCCTATATCTTCTCCTTCTTTAAACACGATACGCACACGTATCGTGTTTTCTGTTAACAGACATTCTATCCAATATTTAACCAACTTAACTCTTTACGACTTAAAATCAACACTGAAGAAATAAAGATATCATCCTCTCGCTAGATCTCAACTATCGCACCTGACGTTCACTCATTAGCCTATCTCTTTTACTGGCGACTTGAAACCTTCGTGATATCTTTCTTTGTCGAAGAGTACTCGACTATTACCAATGAATTATGTTTGATCACCTCCGATCGTTATCAATGAATATATTCTGTTAATGTGTGAATTCGCACGAATGATTTATGATATATTTACAGACTGTCGTCGTAGCTACATCGCGGATATATTTAACAATGGCTATCGTTTCTTCTTTCTTCTTTTTTTTTTTTTTTTTTTTATAAGGGAGCAGCGAAAGAACACGTCGTTGTAACACATGTGTCCTCGCACGCGTCCGTCCACGACCCTGTAATATTTTAGGGTGACTTCCCGGTCTTCGGCCTTTAAAAAGTAGCCGGTGCATATGTCGGCGCAAGCGACATAATGTTATCAAGCTGTCCAGAAGGACACGCCGCCGCCAGCGCTGGCGTCGCCGCTGCCACGCGAGGACGAGGTTCTCGGGGGACCATGTCCTCGCTCTCGCCCACTTCGTCCTTATTGATATACCGAATAAACACACTTGGCAGCTAGGCCAGGGCGGCTTTGCGAGGCAAATAGCTTCGCGAGAGAACCCTACGTCTGGGAAGATATCTTTCCTTCCTTAAAGTCGACATCGTGCTCGATGCCGATAACGATTCAGACACAGACAGAGAGACGGTTCTCCTCGGATTATTAATACTTGTAGAAGAGGAAAAACTTCTCGCGTCGAGCGTTAGCTCCTCATAAATTCTCTTCGTGCGAAATTATAAACGATAGCGGTGGCACTTTTACCGCCAGCTCTTGCGTTGCGAATAAGCAACGTATGCGTGCAAGTGTATCGTGAGATACGAGTCATACACGCCGGATTGTTGGGACGAAAGGACGAAGCGTGTGTGCCTGGCGGAACCGCCTCTGGCTTCATTTCTGGCGGAGAAATCGCTCCTTTCTTACGGTACCGTACGCTGTAATGAGATTGCTTCATTAGGCTTGACTTCGCACCGCGGCAAAAAGAGATTTTACCATCCACAGTCTAAGGAAGTAATCAATAAGTTTTAACATCGCCAGTCCCATCGGCATTCCTCTTTGTTCTTAACGACTCTCGTAGGCGCGGATGACCTTAAATTATTTTTTGTCGTGGCACAACATTTCTATCTCGGCGGGTCAATCTTTTCGCGACAAGCGTTTACCTTCGAGCGTAATTCAGTCACATCTGTGTACGCATTTTTCCTACTATATAATTAACAATTTTTTACCACTCCTCATCAACGAGAACTTTCGTTATCTCACGTCTTGGCACCTGCGTTGGTGGAAAAATGAGCTCCAAGTGAAGGCTCGGCTATCGCGCTGCGATACGACGGTTTTCTCTATTGAGAATCAGAATCGTGCGACGGGGGGCGATCGCATCGCACATTTAATGTCGGACACATTTTGAGATGATATGACGGACAGACGCTGTAAAACCACCCCGCAAAGTCCGACACACCGACGAAGCGTCATTTACCTCCCAAAATCGCTTGTGGAATCTCATTCCGGTCTCCGGTTTCACCCTCGTGGTGGCTTTTAAGTTTCGACCCTTATCGACCGCCACGGACTTAGCGCACCTCGCCGAGCGACGGTTATCCAGTAAATAAAGATGAGTAGTTTCCCCGACAACGCTCTCGCGCACACGCACGCACACAATCGCGAGCGAGTGTGCGTGCGTGCGACGCAGCGAGACGGTTTTAAATTCCGCGAGTCAAAGCGATGTTTGACATGGAAATGTTGAGCGATGCATTAAACATACCGCGCCGAGTGCCCCTTCCCCCCCGTCCTCGTCTTCGTCCTCGCCGCGATCGTAATTCCCCCTTTGCCCCCGTCCCCCGCCCGAGAAAGACGAAAACCGCTCTCCACTCCGGCAATCCGGAGGCCCGAACGTACGGCCCGACGGACCCCCGCGCAATTTTGCTCGCGTTGATCGAACGATGTTTATTTAAGCAAACGAAAGGGACCGCTGGTGATGGTTCCGCTAGTTCTCGGCTATCTCTCTCACTATTGTGAATTCCCACGAAGCAGCTCTCGGCTCGAATCGATAGTCATCACGGTGCGAGGAAAACGATAGGTCCGCCGGCAGGTGCTTCTATTTGCTTTGAACGATAAGAGTGTGTTACCCTTCGGCCGCGTACCGTTCTTATCTCCCGTAAATTATTTGCGGCCGATGCAGCGATGTATTTGAAGATTTTTCCTTTTATGGATATAGCTCGTTCGTTTATGGACGTAGCGTGTCTCGCTACGTCATTCTAAATCTTCGTGAACTTTTAAGAAAATATGAGAATATTTGACGGTTTCTTCAGAACGATAATCTTATATTCTTCGTCTCTTGTAAACCTCGAGTCCTTCGTCCTTTTGTAAACTTCGAGAGAAACACACACCAAAACAGGACCGAAAATAGGCACGAATAAGAAACTGTTAAGATATCAATGGCCTATGTGTAAAAAGAATGACAGTCGCTCGGCGATTCGCTGTAAATTATCTCGAGTGAGAGCGCGATGCATTTATTTGAGTAGATTTTAGATGATACATCGTGCAGTTGTAGTTATACACAATTTCACGGCAGCGAAAATTGCTCCGGATTTCTTGCGGCTTTGCGTTAATATGACATGCAAAGCTGTATCAATCGCCGGTATTATTATCGTCGGCGAATTGCGACGTACGGAGCAAGACCAGCATCGCGAATCCCAGAGTCGTGATTGGCGAAACAGTTGTCGAGGGTCGGAAGTACGCACCTGCGAGGCGCAATTTTACTGGGTCTCCCCATAAAAGGAACTCCCTCTCCATTGTCCGGCAAATGACATCAAGCTTATTGCATTATTTAAAGAGGCTTGCTTTAAGGCCGCTTTAAGCCACTGACCCTCGATTGTCAGAGTGCCGCGCCACAGTGAGGGCACAAACTGAGTTTCTCACGGGCGAATCGCGAGCACCCGGTGTTCTAAAAATTCGACGTTCCTTCGAGATATCACTTATTACTAGAAAAAGATAGGAAACGTCGAAATGCCACGCAGAAGTTGTCGCTAAACACATTTCTCACATTTTGTGTGTTATTTCTCGGATCTTGAAGCGCTTAGCATAGGAAAAATGTGTCAATAATTTTTATTAGATTACTTGAAATTTTTGTTTACTGCAATACGCTACTCGTTATAGTTAAATAAGTTATATAATTAATATATCGTTTAATGGAATTAGAAATTAATACAAATTAAATGTACTATTGAGATAATCGAGTATTAAGTCATTTTTAAATTAATATTTGTTTATATTTGTTTCTCTCAACGAAACAGCAATAAGTAAACCAATTGTAGCCAAAGAAGGTAATAATAAGACTTTCATATTATTATTATATGTACCAGAAAATTCTCCGTTATTACTCCTTCAAGATCGATCAAAAGGTGCAAGGTTAATGTAGAATGAAAATTTCGACTCCGGTATGTACAGTCACGAATCTGCTTGGTGCTTTGTCTCGCAGGATTTCTACTCACCGGGCGAGATGCCAAGCTTCGCATGCATGCTACTAGGGCTTCTGTGATCGGGGGTGGTAACAGGGGCTGCTATGGGTGGCGACAGGTGGGGATGTGCCAGTAGCCCACCACCTGTCGTCGTCGTGGTAGTCGTTGTGGCACAGGGATTTAAGGGTGATGTCCTCTTGAAAGACTGGTCGGTCCGCCACGCGACCTCACTGTCGCCTATCCAGACTTTACCTGCGCAAATCGGTCGAACGGGAATTAGGTACATGGAACGAATACGGAAACAGCTGGTCATGTAATAATGTCGCATTCAACGTTGTCGTCTTTCTGTATAAATACACCACGACATTATGCATGTACAAATTAAGGTGGAATTATATGAATAACCGAAAGATTATTTTGTAAATCAACTCCATAAAAACAAAATAGATTTTGTTCACAGTCGCACTTTTCCCTCGTTATTTTGAATATCCTGAAATATTTTTCTCACGAGAGAGGGCAAAGTGCCGCTGACATTTTCCTGAGAAATAAATTCGAACGGACGTCGCCATAAATACCGCCTTTCATAAATGCGAAAGCAAAAGATGCGCGACCTCCCTCGAACAGATACTACGGTAATATCAGTAACGGAAGATCAAATTGCAAAAGAGGCTCTCGAGATAAATTCTATACCCCGTGCACGTGTATTAATATAACACACACCGGCGAGGCTATGCGTGTGCAGAAAATGGCTTCTCTCCCCCCGAACGGACCCGTCGTAATTAGCGACCCTCTGAATCCCCTATCCCTGCCAGTTTTCCCAGTTTTCCCCCGTTTCCCTTAATTTCTGGGAACAATGCCCAGCTCTGGATGTTGTTCCAGACTGCAGTGTCTAATTACACGGGGGCATACCGAGCTTCTCCTCTCCTTTCCGAATTTGTAAGAGCGATGTACAGGGTGTGCCGAAATTCAAAGATAAAACCGTGAAACAATGCTATCGGGAGGCAGAATTTAACATATACGTATGTTAACTTTTATTAAACGCACGGATGACGTTATCGATAAAAAGAAATGGCACATGATGACCATTATTAATGACTCAGATTTATTGCTAGATCGCTACAAACATTTTTCTCGAGATACATTGTCATTAACGTGTTGTATTTCGTTAACTCATAAACGTCAATAAATTAGCATAATTATATTAATAATCGTTATAAATAAAAAATTCGTTAATTTCACGTAATTTAATCCATATTAATACTATTTTCGTAAATTATTGTACCGGTACGTACTGCTCTCGTAAATCAAACACCTCACGATTTCTATCCTCTTTGAATTTCCGTCACGCGCGAAATCTCGAGTATCCACATCGTGTCTTTACGAACACCCCGTAGGTGGCTACGTATTTATGAAACACGCGAATACCGTATCGCCCCCGCATGCGTGAATCATGACTCAGACTCGGAATTATTTGCCTGACGAATGATTTAGCCCGAGATACTTAGCTCGCTCTTCCCCACTAGCCCCGCCAACCCCCTGCTTTCCCCCGCCATCATCTCGCACCCTCTCTCTGGTAGGATGCTAACTTCTCTTCGTTCCTTTATCTGCGTTCCTAACTACGACCGGAGGAGAGCGTTACTCCAGAGACAGAAATATAGTAACCAGAAGACGAAAAGGGAAAAGAGGAGTGAGGCGGACGGAGAGGGAGGATTCAACGGGATGCAGGAGGGCGGCGAAGACAGACCGAGGGTGGTAACTGGAGGCCGTGGTTCCGCGAGAGAAAGAAAGAACGTTTTTCCTATCGAGAGGAAAAGGAGAGGCGGGAAAAGCGGTGGGGCTGAAGAAAGTGTAGCCGGCGCTAACTAAGGGCGTCGGCTAATCAATATCATCAGAGAATGGCCGCTGACCTCCATCCACTCTCCTCCCCTCCCCCACCCCCTCTAGATCGACCATTGTCCGGTATTCCGCGCTTCGAATGAGCTTCCACCGCGAATACGAACGAATCGATTTTTCCTCTTGTTCCTTTCCGTCGCGAGTTTAAAAGTCTCTAATGTCAAATTACCACGGCGGGTTTTAACGACGTTACGATGTCATTTCGTTACCGCTACCGCTTATCTTTATTCATAAAAAAGTACCGGTATAAATCGTTGTAATAATTAATCAGCTTATAATCAAATTATGTCTTCAATGCTGGATTTCAGGAAAATATCGTGTTTTAATTAATTAATTTATCACACAGTAATTGCTAAATGCTGAAATGTTTTCGGCCTATATTGGAAATTCTTCACTTCAATGCCACTTCCACAAAGACAGTTGGCTCGAGGCTACAATTCAAACGCCGACCACGGTATGGAGCCTTTCTTTAATCTCGTAGTGTTTGCATGGCCCCCTCGTCTCTTTCAACTCCACGGAGACAAACGAGACTACCCCTATGCAACGGCGAGTTTGATATAAAGTCGCGATTGTAGAGAACTCAATTATCTGAGCTTTTGGAAAAATCGTATCATGCATATCATGCGTCTCTTGATATTATTCGATAAAGAAATTATACAAAGTGTTATGATAGATTATTGATTTTTCCTCAATTGGACTCTTTTTATCTCGATATGAAGTGGATCCTTTTTCTAAAATTAGAAAGAGAAGAAATATACGTATCTCGATGACTACTTTATAATTTAGAAACATAAAAAATAAATGTATTATAACAAAATCATCCGTAGATGAACTTTGCGACGGTTCGTTCATCGACGCGATCTCCCCGCGTCGTTTCTTTCTCTCTCGCCCAATGAGGGTTGTCGTCACGTCCAAACGAAAACCAGTCGCATAAACAGAGCCATCCATTCCGCGATTTGCCTCCTTTCTTCCCCTCCCCGTCGCCCGCGTAGAAGTCCTTTCCCCTTCGTCCTTTGCATTTTCCCTCGCCCCATTCGTCCAACCCGGCGCGAACTCCATTCACGGGTTTATCACTGTCCAGATAACAACGATTTACCTACACGCGAACTCCTGCGGGTAGGGTTCCGGGAGTAGGAGGGTGCGTCTGGCGGGGTTGCGAGTGAGGAGGGACGAGGTGAGCCCCATAGCAAGGCTGTTGAAGAAGGCGAGACGGGCGGCCACCTTGCATTCGGGAGTATTTCACTTTAACGGCCCTCCGGGGGATTGGCTGACCCCGACCGAAGACCCCTTCACCGTTTCAGCATAATGGACCTCTACATTACTTATTCGTCCTGGCCAATGTCCTGCTAGCGGCATTCGCGACTACGCGAGAGGTCAGCGAGGACAAAGCCGCTCGTTTCCACATTTCGCTATTTACGGAACGCGATTAATCGCACGTTGCGGAAACGAGGATGTATAGTCGAAGTGATCGTTACCAATATTTTAACGTGAAAGAATTTGACTTGTGGGCATCTTTTTTGACAAGTAGGGCCATTAATAAGAGAGAGAGAGAGAGAGAGAGAGAGAGAGAGAGAGAGAGAGAGAGAGAGAGAGAGAGAGAGAGAGAGAGAGAGAAAGAGGAGTATATCGAAGCGTAGGACCTGAATATTTTGGATGGATAGTGCAATTGTTCAACAAGAGAAAAATTCCGGTCCAGTTTACCTCGATATATTTTTTCTGTTTTCTCACGAATTAGATGAAAAAATATTCAAGTGTTTAAACTGAATAAACTTAAGCACAGACACCGATAATACAAGTGATCCTGGACATACTCAGAATCTTTCAGAAAAGATGTCGCGTTCTGATGTCTCCAATTTTTCCAACCGATCACGTATTCCCGCCTTCTTCCCTGGCAACGACGACGACGAGACCATCTCCGCTGATTCCAGCTTCCGGGTACCGTCCGACAGCACGGAAGAGCAACATGCCTCAAGCAAACCGCTTTCCCCGCGGCACTCGAAAGAATTGAAAATTCCTGCTCGTCCAAGGGTTGAGGAGGTCGACGATGGAGGGTGGTGGCCAAGGGGGAGGACGGATGAAGAAAGGGGGGATGAGGAAGCGAACGCGGATAAAGCGCTCGATATAAGATTAATGCTAGAGGCCGCCGACCGGTCCCGCCGCACGTCGAGGGCCGTTCGGCCATATACGACGGCAATGGTGATTCCTCTTTGAAGGTAGAACCGTGGGTAGTGGCCAAATTGAATCCTGCTTAGGACAGAAGAAGCGTCGAGAGAACGGCAGGATGAGGGAAGGAGAGAGAGAGAGAGTCGGCGCGGAGCCCTTCCTCCAATAAATAAATCGCCGACCGTGCGTGGGTCTCCGATTTTCAGCTCGAACGTACGGATTAAAATCGACCGGCCGATTTGTAGCGACGAAACGCCGGAGGTAATTGCACGATTATCTTGTTCCGGTATCGCACGTCGATTTCGTTGTTTTTCTACTAAAATAGGAAGTTGCATAACAGGAACGCAGTCATCCACGTCGTACTTATTTCTCAGACATGCTTCGTATTATTATATGTACAAGTATATTATTTGCAAGAGATAATAAAAAAGAAAGTCAGATGGAAAGTCAGATGGAACTCAAGATGATCAAAGATGACGTATGGTAGTCCAATTTCAATGAACTTTAATACTCTTATGTGTTTTGCAGATCGCTAATATTAATCTCATATCTGCATCCAACAAACGCTATTAGCGTTGAGGCCTAGACGCATAAATGCGTCCTAAATTCGTTGACATTCGCCCTCGAAAAAAGTTATCGACTGTTGCGATGGGCATTCATATCGATGCACAACGTACAAACGTACAAGAGCCCAAAGTATTTTTTCTCAGTGACAGTATTTTCTTGAAGTGCTCTAAGATTGAAAGTGTAAGTGCAGCATTAGACGAACAAATGAATGACAATATTTCTACATTGCCCATTGACCCAAGTCAAGGAAGTTAAATTGATAAGAACAGATAAAACGGTTATTAGATAAAACAACGAGAAACGACAACAGAGGAAAAATTATTCGAAGTGTCAATATTCCGTGGTGATACATTTCCGATGCATCTCATCGAAGAAACGTTTCCAGTAGACAATCTTTTATCGTCGTTTGATTAAGCTTTATCGCGGGAATAATAACATGATATCAAAATTACCAAAACATGACATCTTCCACCGCGAGTTCGACTAGACTGCTTTTTCTCGTACTGATGATACATATTTCATATTACGACAATATAATTTCATTCGGAAAAACGAGATACGTCTAGGATGCAACGTCAATGTAGATATTTTTTCTACATAAATAGTTCTCGCTAATAATTAATATGAAT